TCGAGAGGTAATGGAGTGTGCCTCCAAGGGTGAAGTCAAGCCACTGGAGAATCACAGCGCCTGCTGTGGCTGTAGAGACCGGCAACTTATAACTGCTGCCTCCTGCGTTGCTTTTGCTGCATTAGCAGCACTGAAGTGACTTCTCCAATGTGCAAGCCTGGGCAGTGCGTCTGGAGGTCCTGATGTGGTCCAATGGAAAGCAGAGTAATACTAGCTTGGATGCAGGAGTTTCTGAAAGGAGAGTGCAAGGTGTCATTCAACTATCTTAGGGACTCCACTCTGGATTTGTGTAGGGTTCACTCTGGATTAGGCGGAGGAAGGCGGGTGCAGGGGATGCGGTGCGCACCGAGTGTCAGCCGTAAGGGTGGGTGACATCACCGCGCCACCCCCCCACCCCACGCTCACTGTGCGGGTGGTGTCCCTGGACGCTCGCTGCATGGGTGGCGGGCTGCTAGGGACGATGCTGCCATGGGCAGCTAACAGTGCCCCCCAACGCTCGCCGCACAGGTGACTAGCAGCAACACCCCTGATGCTCGCCAGGCAAGTGGCTAGGGACGCTCGTCGCGTAGGCTGCTAGCAGACCCTCCCCCACTCTCTGCGTGGGTGGCAGGTGGCTAGGGATGCTCACCATGCAGGCAGCTAGCGGTGCCCCCCACGTTCACCGTTTGGGCGGCTAGCCCCGCCCCCCACACCGCTCCAGGTGCCAGGGCAGGTAGCTCTGCCCCTGGTAGGGTTTACTACTTAGCCTTTTCTTTTCCCAAAGATGTCCTGCAAAGCAGCAAGTAAGCATGCAGTATGTTCTGGGAATTCCATGCAATCCAGAACCGGGACCACACAGGGCTCTTGGCTGCATGGAAACCCCTATGTACACCCAACTGAATGCATGCAAGGTCCCATTTCATGAATTCGGCTGAATGCATACGTCTTAGGGTGTGCTCAGAGGCTCATGCGGACATCAGGGGTGGGATCCGCCGGTGCAATCCTGCTCCCTCTCTGTGCATTAATCGAAATGTGTAAACAATAATCAGAATAGGACAATTTCCAGAACAAAATAAATGGTAAATAATAAATGTAATAGTAGCAACAGCGATAATGGCAATGGAAATTCTGGATTTCAGCCAGAGGGTAATTAATATATTTGACTCAGTGCATTCATCAAGGGGGACTGGAGATTTCATTTATTTGATAATATTGACTGCTTACTTTGTGGAGATGCACTTTTAGCACTTGATTCTACTCAAAGAGCAGGGCTTCTTGTGACACTGGAGCTAATAGCACTTGGATGAGCTGGCACCAGTGATCACCAGTACTTTGAAATTTTCTTGGGAATAGATAAGAAGTCAATGAAAATTAACAATAACTCAGCTATTTCATAGCCAGCTGTGCTTAGGGTGGGGCGAAGGTAGGTTCTGAAAAAACTTTTTGACCACAAACTATTTTATATGTGTTTGTTTGTTTGTTTGTTTGTTTGTGTACTAAACTAAGCCTCACATTTCTGGCAGATAGTTCAAACACTTGCAAATACTTTCTTCCTTTCTGCATTAAGTATTGAGCTATACTGCTATACTGTCCCAACAGTAATGGCAGTAAGAAGTTATATTTCACCTTTCTTTTGAGCACAGATCAAGAAAGGCAAATTGTCAGAAGAGGCTTCAAAGAGCGGGAGAGTTCACTCCATTTGGAAGCAAACTAAAGCAACAAGGAGTCTACAGAGAAATAGCAGGTGTTTGGTGATATCCGCTGCATGTTGGACAAAGGAATTATGTAGCGGGATCAGTTAAATTAATTGTGTTGGGCTCAAAACTTGTACAGGCAATATATCACATGAGTAGTTGGGAGGCCAGTCTGGCTGGAAACTGGATGCTGAACAAGAGAGTCCTTTGGCCAACCCAGCACAACAATTTCTAATGGCTGTGTAGTCCAGGGGTCAGCAAACTTTTTCAGCAGGGGGCCGGTCCACTGTCCCTCAGACCTTGTGGGGGGCCGGACTGTATTTTTTTGGGGGGGAAATGAACGAATTCCTATACCCCACAAATAACCCAGAGATGCATTTTAAATAAAAGGACACATTCTACTCATGTAAAAACACACTGATTCCTGGACCGTCTGCAGGCCGGATTTAGAAGGTGATTGGGCTGGATCCAGCCCTTTGTTTGCCTACCCATGGTGTAGTCTTTGAGGACCAGAATCCCTTTGCAATTCTTCTCACTTAATGATATAATTTGCCCTTTTAATCCCCCCAATTCCCAATTTTTGGCTTGCTTTGGTTTAGGTGACAGGAAAATGAAGTACATTCTTTCCCCCAAAGAATTCTGGGCTCTGTAGTTTGTTAAGGGTTGCTGGGAATTATAACTCTGTGATGAATAAACTACAGTGCCCAGAGTTCTTTGAGGGGAGGAATGTGCTTTGAACGTGCTTTATAGTTATTGTATGTGTGCAACCTTAGTTCCTTTAGTTCATGTTAGCTACCGGTAAACCTTTCCCTGGACAAAGGTTCTTCTTCCACAGTACATGATGCAGTTCTGTTGCTTGAGCCTTTATATTTACCATATTACTTCAGTGTGGTGGGCTCAATTAAATTACCTTCTGGTATATTTTTGTGTAATATTAATGGCCATTCCCTGGTGAGTCTATTTGTGTAACATTTCCAACACTTCCTCCCCCCACGCCCCATTTCAATTTTGAAATATTAGCAGCCAAGGCATCAGTCAGCAGTAACAGTATCAACGAAAGGGCAAAAGGACGATAAGGGGATATTGCATCTCTCGCCAGAATTTGTAAAACAAACACAGGGCCCTCCAAATAGCTGTATGAGATGCTTTCAATCTTATGGGGGTCTTCAAGAGTGAGAGTGTAATCTTTAAAAAATTAAACCACTGCCACCCATCCTAACACCTGCAGATTACTTCACTGCAATGCCATTCTAACAGTTATAATTGGAAATTATAGGTCATTCCAAGGTGAAATGCTGCTCCTCACACCGCAAAATTTTTGCATACAATGACCTCATATCAAAAATTGCCTTTCCATATTCAGACTTCCATTCCGGAAGTCAGTTCAATTTTCGAAACATTCAAAAACCAAGGCGCGGTTTCCAGTTGGCTGCAGGAGCTTCCTGCACTCAAAACGTTTGAAAACTGGAACACTTACTTCTGGGTTTTTGGCATTCGGGAGCTGATTTTTTCATCAACTAAGCCGTTCGAGACCCAAGGTTCCACCGTATAGAACAAGCCTGCTCTTGACAGGCTAAGATTACCATGGAAGCCAAGAGGTCAACTTTGAGCTCTTCCTTACCAACTCAGCCTGCTAGCTATTTTAATTTTAAATTTAAAAAGTTATTTTTTTGAAGAGAATAGGCTGGAATCTTGAGTTTGTTGCCACTGTTGGGAGCACTGATAATAGGGGGGGAGCAACTAATAATAGGGGGGAGCAACTAATAATGGGGGGAATTAAAATGATTCTCATAACAGTAATCTACTGTTATGTAGAAGGAGTGTCTCCACCCCCATCGCTCTGCCCAGGCACTGAGGTCCAGTGCCGAGGGCCTTCTGGTGGTTCCCTCACTGCGAGAAGCCAAGTTACAGGGAACCAGGTAGAGGGCCTTCTCGGTAGTGGCACCCGCCCTGTGGAACACCCTCCCACCCACCAGATGTCAAAGAGAAAAACAACTACCAGACTTTTAGAAGACATCTGAAGGCAGCCCTGTTTAGGGAAGCTTTTAATGTTTAATAAAAAAGGTAAAGGTACCCCTGCCCGTACGGGCCAGTCGTGTCCGACTCTGGGGTTGCGCGCCCATCTCGCTTAAGAGGCTGGGGGCCAGCGCTGTCCGGAGACACTTCCGGGTCACGTGGGAAGCGTGACGAAGCTGCTCTGGCGAGCCGGCACCAGCGCAGCACACGGAAACGCCGTTTACCTTCCCGCTATACAGCGGTACCTATTTATCTACTTGCACTTAAGGGTGCTTTTGAACTGCTAGGTGGAGTTTGTTTTACTGTTCAAAATTTCAATAAATATCTTTTTTTAAAAAAAATGAACTGCTAGGTGGGCAGGAGCTGGGACCGAACGACGGGAGCTCACCCCACCGCGGGGATTCGAACCACCGACCATACGATCGGCAAGTCCTAGGCGCGGAGGTTTTACCCACAGCGCCACCCGCGTCCCCAGCGCCACCCACGTCCCATGTGTTTAATAGACCATTGTATTTTGATATTTTGTTGGAAGCTGCCCAGAGTGGCTGAGGAAACCCAGCCAGATGGGCGGGGTATAAATAATAATAAGTAGTAGTAGTAGTTGTGATACAATCTATGGCCTCATTCTGCTTTTTATATATTGCTCCAATAATCAACAGAAAGGGTATTAGTGTATTTGCCTTGGCCTCTGTGGCACAATGGTTAGAGTGCTGGACTATGGACTGGGAGATCAGGGTTCAAATCGCCATGAAGCTCACTATGTCACCATCTCTTAGCCTAATCTACTTCATAGGGTTCTTGTGGGGATGAACTGGGAAGGAAGAGAACCAGGTATACCACCTTAAGTTCCTTGGAAGATAAAGGTGGTGTATACATGTAATAAATAAAATAATAAAAACATACACGAGAAACCATTACTTTAATCCAAACATCTCTAAACTTACCTGAAAACGAAACAAAACATTTGCATTACAACTTGACCTTTGGCATTTGGCAGGTTTAGCTTATGCCTCCTTGACATGTATTTAAAATTGTACCAGATTTTGATCTTCAGAGCCTGATGGATTCAAATGCTTGGAGAAATCCACCTGTCCCCATTTCTCCCACCTCAAAAGCTCATTTAGGCTGCAGTCCTACTTGCACCATGAGAGAAAGCCCAACTGAACACACAGTCTAAAGGAAATTAGATTATGGAGCATAATCAAAATGAAAAAGTTTAGGACTGCCTTGTTAATTTGCTGTTCGGCTCTCATACACAATTCAGGAGAGGAAAAAGCAGCAGAAGACATATAAACAGACACCTGTACTTACATGTGTCGGGCTTGAGTTGACTATTTGTGATCCCAAAATACTGAGGGTTTTCAATTACGGGAATCTTTGTCATTCCAATAATTACTGCATCCGGTCCGCCCTCGGAAGAAGATGGAGTGTTGCTTCCATTAGAGATGTGATGAAGAGGACTCGCTGAATCGTCGTCATTGCTGATAACTGAAGAAGGACCTAAAGTTAGAAATAAAGATGCCCCTGTAACTTGACATAGTTTTCCCCTCCCTCTATCATTGCTCTGGCCCTCACTTACATACTGTAAGGTTTTGCACAGAGGATGCGGGCAAACAGCTTTAGACCAGGACACCCAGAGGCCTAGCGCCTTAACTTCTGCACCTCCAAAGCAGCAGACCTACTGAAGGTTGAGCTGTGGGGCCTGTTTGCCGACCATTGACCAGGCTGCCTGCCTCCGACCTCAACGGCTGCCACTTCTGGAAGTTGACCTTTTGCACATCACTTTGGCTCTGATCCTAAATGGCCTCAGTCCTGTATACCTGAAGGAGCGTCTCCACCCCCATCGTTTGGCTCAGACACTGAGATCCAGCACCGAGGGCCTTCTGGCGGTTCCCTCATTGCAAGAAGTGAGGTGACAGGGAACCAGACAGAGGGCCTTCTCGGTAGTGGCACCTGCCCTGTGGAACACCCTCCCACCAGATGTGAAGGAAATAAGCAGTTATCCTATCTTTAAAAGACATCTGAAGGCAGCCCTGTTCAGGGAAGTTTTTAATATTTAACGCTGTACTGTTTTTAACACTTGATTGGGAGCCTCCCAAATATTATTATATTATTATCCTGTTACCACTTTGGAAGCTGACCCACAGCAAACCGTGGCAATTACGTATAGGTGGTGCTGACTTTTAGAAGGTTTCAAAGACGGTTTCTCCTGCTGTTTTGCTTCAATTAAAACTCTCATTCTCTTCCATTTGGATGGCATTATGTACTTTTAAATCAATAAAGTGCCCGCTCATAAAGCACATGAAACTTAGCTATATATGAGCAGCGTATAAATGCAACAAGTAAATAAAGAATAAAACACAGCAAATGTATAGATGATGACTCATGTCCTAAGCGGGTCTCCTTGTAAGATACTGGTGACTTTGTAAGTCATGGAATGTGGATGCAATGGAATGGATGGAGAAAAGAAGCTCAAGTGCACCCTCTCCCAGAACGGCTTGCATGGTGAGGGAGGTGATGGCGCTGATTTGAGCTGCCTTATACCGAGTCTGGCTATCCCACTCAGCATTGTGTACTCTGGGAATGGGGAGCCTCAGGCCCGGAGGAGAAATGCAACCACTGAGGTCACTCTCTCACTAGTCATCCCTCGTTCCCAAGCCATGACCACACATCCCTTTACTAGTTCCCCCCCCCCTTTTGCCCATGTTGTATTGTAAAATCACCGCCCAACGCTAAGTACTCTAGAGGCTTTTCATAAATCAGAATTCATAAATCAGAAAGTTAATTCAATCCACTGATCATCTTGAATTCAGTTATATACGACACGGTTGTTCCTACCCCCTTAACTTCACTGTACCTGAAAAGCAATGACTTGCACCACAGTTACTATGGCTGCTTGCCACTACACCAGGGGTGTAGTGGGAAATCTTGAAGCTGGAGCGTAGTGTTGTGAGAGTAAACGCCATTGAACCCCTCCTCTTACTTTGGACCCCAACTTAGAAAATACTTCAGGCTTCAACAAAAGTTCTACATCCAGCCAAAACGCAACCTTTAGCACTTAATTAGAAATGCAAACGAGCTTGCAAAAATGTGTTAACATATCACCTGCTGTTGTGAACCAGGAAACCCATCAAATAACATGAAAGAAGTCTCCAGCCTCTGCTTGATGGTGTTCCTCATCTTCTGACTTCCTCTATGCTACTCTGTTACAAACAAACTTGTAAATTTCATGATGTTGTTGTTTAGTCGTTTAGTCGTGTCCGACTCTTCGTGACCCCATGGACCAGAGCACGCCAATTTCATGATAGTCTCATTCTTTTGCCAGAACACTTCAGCAGATGACTTGGAACTGAAATTTGATTCTACTTATGGCCAAATATGTCTCCTTTCTGCTTCAGCGAAGACAACTGGAGTAGCATTTTGTTTTCTTTGCAATTGCTTGTTTCTATGGGTACCTTACACGAAATGTTGAGTTCCTTTTACTTGTTACTTTCCATCATATTATTATTATTATTATTATAAAAATAATATTTATTACTTTTCCAAGAAATTTAAACACTAAAAAAAAGAAACAATACAATACATTAAGCTAACCAAACAAAACAAAAACAATAAAATAAATCAAACAATTTCATTATCCCATCTTTCATTCACTTATTTCCACGACCTCCTCACACCTCCCTTTTTGTATTCCACTTCTGTTAATTGTTTCAGCAATTCCTTTCCATCTTCCTCTGTTTTCTATCCTATAATTATCTTAACTCATTCTAACCTTATTTTTTCCTTTAATACTCTATTAATCTATTTATACTTAATTCCTTATAACATTTCTACTAAAGCCATGTAACTTCATTCCAACATTTTTCTAACATTCATTGATTTTACAGTATTTCTGTAAATAATCTTTAAATTTTTTCCAATCTTCTTCCACCGACTCTTCTCCCTGGTCTCGGATTCTGCCAGTCATTTCCGCCAATTCCATAGAGTCCATCAACTTCATCTTCCATACTTTCCATCATATTAAAAGCTGAGAGGCTCCTCTACAGAGCAACTCCCTGCCCCCACCTGGCCCTTCCAGGATGGGATTAGCTCTTAAGGGGTTAGGGCATACAATAACAACAGCTCTAGGAGAACTCCCAAGCTATTAACCTGTACTCTCAGGGGAGTGCTGCACCACTGAGAACAGGCCATCTACCTAACTCCAGGACCTGGAAACCACCCACCAACAATGCCTCCATCTCGCCAGGATTCATTCCCAGCCGCTTGACCCTCATCCAATTCCAGTTGTTACTGATTCCAGGCCCAGATCCAGTGCCTGAATAGCCTCTTCCGAATCAGATGAAAGGAGAGACAGAGCTGGGTGCCATCTGCATATTGATGACTTTCCAAATCCCTGGATGATAGTTCTGACCATCTTCATATAGATGTTAAAAAGCATGTGTCCTGCACAAATGCCAAGGAACTGAGCAGAAGACGCCCAGTGCTACTGTCCAGGATCAGTTCTGCAGGTACATGAGGAGGTCCTGTAATATGGTGTCAGTACAGGAGGATACAAGAGTTAATGGTATCTGGAGGCTCAGGGGACTTCAGTGGCTAGAAGTGTCTCTTATCAACAGCAGCTCATTTGACAGGGAAGGCCATTCCTGGCCCAGGAAAGCCTTACCACAGCAGTCCACGTGTTGCTTGCTTCAAGACTGTATTACTGCAATGCACTCTATGTGGGGCTTTCCTCACTTGAACCAGAAACTATAGTTAGTGCAGAATGCTGGAGCACGATTGCTGACAGGTGAGGCCCTGTGCTCAAAAGATCTGAAACGTTGCCGATTTGCTGCTGGGCCAAGTTACTATTAGCATATAAAGCCCTTAACAACTTGGACCAATTCACTGTACTCTTTTAAGCACTTGCTAATAACATTCTGGTTTAGACAAGCCCACCCAGATGCTAAGAAAGCTGAGGTAATCTTGATCTGTTTTTAACTTGTTTTCTGTTCTTTCCTTTTTCCTCTTATTCACTTTAATTGACTATAATAATCTCAAAATCAGAAAAAAGAAAGTTGAGGTAATCTTGATCTGTTTTAAAGTAGAGTTATCGTTATTCTTTAATTATTCTTTATTAAATTTATATACCGCCCTACACCCGCAGGGTTGTGATTTTTTTCTTGATTTTACTGTCTTATCTTTTGTAAACTGCCTTGAGGTTTGCTTGTTTTTACAATCAAACGGTGTATACATTTCGTTAATTAAATGATATCAAAAGCACAACGGGATCAAGAACCAACTGAGTTGCACTCCCTCTTGTCGCTTACCTGATAAAGGTTATCAGTCAGGGTGGCCAAGGTCATTTCAGTGCCATCTATGATGCCAGAGTGAAATAGGTAGCTTCATCCAAGCATGCCTGAAACTGATCAGCTGCCATCTCTCAATGCTCTTGCCCTGGGACATTTGGAAGTGGATCATAGCTATCTAGAAGAGTCCAGGGAGGGACTCTTGAGAAAGGGATGACTGCTGCACCTTTTTTGGGGAGAGAAGTATCACCCCCCCCCATCTCAACCACTTCATATGGTCAAACCTTCCTGGCTAATATTTATTAGCCATGATAGGCAAGGGTCAACAGAACACACAGCACATAGAATCATAGAATCATAGAGTTGGAAGAGACCACAAGGGCCATCGAGTCCAACCCCCAGCCAAGCAGGAAACACCATCAGAGCACTCCTGACATATGGTTGTCAAGCCTCTGCTTAAAGACCTCCAAAGTAGGAGACTCCACCACACTCCTTGGCAGCAAATTCCACTGTCGAACAGCTCTTACTGTCAGGAAGTTCTTCCTAATGTTTAGGTGGAATCTTCTTTCTTGTAGTTTGGATCCATTGCTCCGTGTCCGCTTCTCTGGAGCAGCAGAAAACAACCTTTCTCCCTCCTCTATGTGACATCCTTTTATATATTTGAACATGGCTATCATATCACCCCTTAACCTCCTCTTCTCCATGCTAAACATGCCCAGCTCCCTTAACCATTCCTCATAAGGCATCGTTTCCAGGCCTTTGACCATTTTGGTTGCCCTCCTCTGGACACGTTCCAGTTTGTCAGTGTCCTTCTTGAATTGTGGTGCCCAGAACTGGACACAGTACTCCAGGTGAGGCAGTATCCAGTGTTAGTTATATTTTATATTCAGAGTAGAACCAATAGAATTAATGGACATGATTCACTTAGACCCAGAGTTCAACCAATGACATGGATGGACCTAACTTACCGGTAGTTGAATGTAACCTGTGATAATCGAGACCCCTGCCAGTATCCTGGCCATATCCTCAGGCCACAACAAGTGAAACTGATCCCACAAACCAATATTAGACAGTGCTCTGAAAACCTTCACCTGACCTACATTAATGCCACACAAACAGCCCTAACAGAAAACAATAAAACAAAAACCGCCATCCTATTTTAATATCCTAAAAGAAGATAATAAAATACTCCAGACAAAACTGTGGCAATGAATG